TCGTTTAGATGAAAGATAGTTTGACAGTTTACAGTAAATGTTAATATTTTAGAGATAGATATAAGCATGTTATTAGATATTTTAGATTGTTTCAACGCTTTTCATGACTTAAAAAAAATCCAAACAAGCATTGAATCCATCTCTATGCTACAAAAAAAGTAAAAATGCGTCTTAGATATAAAGGACTTTTATTTGACGTCATACTTTCGTCACTTCAACGGCTCGCATATTGCCCGAGGAGTTCAAAATCTTTATCCCAAGAAATGGGAAGTGATTTTTTAAAAAAAAATTATTTGCTCTTTTTCAACATTTATTATCGAACTGAAGATAGCCAGTACAAAAGCTCTGTACTGGATTTTGATACATGTAGCACATAACTGCGCTCACCCTAACCGTAAAACTTATTAAATAACAATTTTCAAGCAACTGTACAAAGAGTTTATGGTAGATTCTCTAAACTGCTCAGCGAATATTTGACAACGTCCGACAAATGAGCTTTAGTTCGATGGGTTATTTTTTTTTTAATGCAGACCAATCATGACCGATGCTTCTACAGCAAGATTTTTCCTACAAAGAGTTCAATATTAATACTTCAATACTTTGCTTTTATTTATAACACTGACTTAAATTTATACAAGAGAGATAGGTGCCGTGTCTATTGAGAGATATTGACTACTGCAACTATTATGTTAATGATTAATTAAAAATTTATATATCTTTTTTTGTTGGCTTTTGTGACAGAAGCTATATAAGGATCTGTTTATTTGTAGTCCGGAAACGAAAAGGTCCGAAAACATGAAAATCATACAGAATTTCGTTTTCCTTTTAAATACAATCTTATTTATATCAGGAAATTTACAAGACGGTTATTCAAAATTAAGATTCGGTTACAGATTGGACAGAAAGATGATTGACTCCTATACAGAGTATAGTATACTTGACTGTGTAGAAGAATGTTTAAGAACCACGCGATGTAAATCTGTTAGTTATTACAAAGGGGCAAATTATTGTGAAATCAGTTATGAAAATAAAACCACTGCCCCAGACAAGTACAAAGAAGACAAAGGATGGATCTACAGTGAGAGAGAAGATTGGAATCCGGTAATTATATTCTATTTATTAATTAATTAATCAGTTAAGCATAAAATTATAAGATAAAATCATTTATTGCCATTAAATTTTATAAGGTTTACAGGGTTATAAATATACTTAATTTTAACGAGGCCGAATCTAATTATTTTTGCCCTAGGGATTTGATAATTTTTTGATAATTAATTTTTACTGTTATATTTTATGTTTCAGGATTAAAAAATTGAATGTTTACCACCCCGATTTCTTAGGTGGCCTTAAAAAATGTTGTTAAACTTTACTATTGGTCCCTATGAGATTTTGTTGGAAAATCGCCAAATTATTACATTCTTTCAATATTTTTTGTACTTCTGCCCTAGGGATTTCTTTTTCATTCAAGTAAATGAAAGTAAATGTAGAAAGTCACCAAATTGTGAAATTTCAAAAAATTTCACCATCTCGATGGTCTAGGTAGTACATGTAACTACTAAGTAAACTTTATTTTTTCGAAGCCAAATACCTCTAAAGTTGCCATATTAGGGTATAAATACATATCTTTGCTGATGAATTATCGGTGTATACAATTTTTTTGGCATAAATAGCAATTTTTAGATTGCTAGTATATTTCGTGGGAAGTTATGTCATCAGTTTTTAGTATAATATCCATAGACGTCTTGAACATACAAACGGGTCATACGTCATACATTGCTTACAAAATCCGAAAATGGTGACGTTGTTAGAGCCATTTCAACGTTCTTTTTCAAATAATTGTCGTAAAATAACATTTTCAGATCAGTAGGAGTTACAAATAATGTTTATTTTGTATTAAAATTCGAATATAATTAATGACTGCATGAAATTAAAAAGCTGCGCAAAAAGCAAAATGCTCGAATTAGACTCGGCCTCGTTAAACTTTAAACTTCGAATAGAAGCATATTCCCGTTATTTACCGATCATGACAAGGAGCACATGACACAAGCCAGCATCACAAGGATGCTTATCTGTTACTACTCCATTGGACTCGATGTCACGTCTCATTAGTTTCCTTTGCTCCTGATTTATATTGTTTCACTGCAATTTTGAGTTTGAATAATGTTTGTTATTCCATGATTGTCATACAGTAATTGTCATGTGTCTTATTACATTTAGGTATTGTGATTTACATGTATTATTAATTTTTGCCTCTGATATTGTTATATTTCCATTTCAAAATTTTTTCTCTATAATAACCCTTTGAAAGTAAGCGGAATTGATTTCCTGATAATTCTGCCGGAATGTAAATTAGGCAGGTCGATAGGTCAGCAGCTAAGGAGGCCTAATACGCATGCAAATCTCGTGCCCATCTGTCTCTGTGTCTGACGCTAAGGAGGCCAAATATGCATGTAAATCTCGTGCGGCTGCCTTTGTGTTTGCCGTCAGTGTGCGAGTACTATTGAAATTGGCATGGAAGTCCTCGTGTAATTTAAATCGATTAGTCTACATTCTTAATGTCTAAGTCTACAATTTTATTTCACAATGAAATGGAAATATAAGGAATCACTGTCTAGTTTTGAGAGTATGCCAGGGACATCAAATTATCCCATGTTTCCCACTATTGTTGATGCCCTGGCATACTCTCAAAACTAGACAGTGATTCCTTAAGTATTTCTTGCGATTATATCGGAGGGATTTGCCATTGACTTGCAAATAAGACGGACATCTTTTTGGCTAGAATTGAGTGACAATGTCAAGCCAATTCTCTAATCTTTTAAACAATGTCTCACATAATATATTCTAGAAATGTTCAAAATAACATGTACAGGTATTTAATGTTTAAACCGTATCAGATGTTCTTGCTTTTTTTCGCAGCACTGTTAAGGCCTACTATGAGAAATAAACGGAAAATAGATGCGCAAAAAAGGGGGATTTTATTAAAAATAAATTTATTTTATTAAGTTGTTTTATTATCACAAAACTTAAATACTTATTGAAATAACATAGTATAACCCACTCTATACTGTATGAAGTTTGGTCCCATCGATGGACAGTCACGTGATGAATGCTTAGTTTGTGTACTTAATGTAGGTCATAAAACCTATTGTTTTCATTTAAAAAAAGGGTATTGGTTTTGTTTTGAAAAATGTATTATTGCATTATTCATAAAAAAGCATTACTTCCTGAGTGTAGTTACCAGTTTTCGATTTGATATTTTTAAATTTACTTTTTATTTTATAATATTTCTGCTTTTATAAAATTTTTATCGATTTTATACATGTAACTCATTTTGAAAACATAGGCCAAAAGCTTGCCTTTCTACCAAATTTATATATTTCATACATTAATATTAGATGCATTTCATGCTTAAAAGTCTCAGCTCTAGGGTGTGCTCTCTTTTTTTCCAAAGTGATGAGTATAGAAATTTTGGCGAAAATCCATCAGAAAATGTACTACTTCTGAACCATTCTATGGCTAGCTCAGTGTAAGCTTTGAATCAAAATAGGACATTTAAGGGGGCCGACTATGGTTTTATTGCGTGAAAACTGCAATAGCGGAACTCTTTATTTTTATACCATATATAACTGACATTAACTTTAGTGTACATGCAAAGTTTTGGCGAAATAAACCGCCCAGGTATTTCAAAGGGACAATTCTCAAAATATAGGTACATTTACTATAGGAAAGTGCCAATTTTTAGCACTATAATGCAAATTATACAAATACTACTAAAGCGTTTTTGTTCAAACTATAATATATGATGAGTAATACTATCTTGTACTTTATGTGTAAGAAACACAAAATTATACCGTCTTGTTACCAGAGGGGGCATGTCAAAAGGCCAAAAATAAACGAATTTTCCTGTTATTATAGAGTGCTACAAAATATGACGCATGCATAGGATTTATACAAAAAATAATAAAATATGATGAAGATATTATCAAATTCCTATGTAGTAAATTTCAAGAGCGTATGTTTATTACTTTTTATTTAATAACATTTTTATTACCCCTTTCTGTCAGAGCTTCAGTTTATCATTACGTCAACAACGCACCATAACAACGTCAACCTACCTATCAGTTGCGAAACAGTTTAAAAATTCCGTTATATAAATTTGTAATTACATTTTTAAACCTGTTATTTCTTAATTGTGTTTAATTCTCTTAATCAAGTGAAAAAAGTTGCTTTAAAATAGTAAATACTCTCTATTTAACTATGATGCACGAAATACATTTATTGCACAATGAAAACTAGAGTCGGACCCCTTAAATCCTTAACACGAATTTCATCTGTGTTCCGATTGTTGTTAGAAAAATCTCCTGTAATTCTTCGTGTTTTAGTACATTACATAGCATAATAGATCTGGATATTTAAAACCTGTAATCAGATATGATAACTAAAGGATTTTAAAAAAGGTAGCTATTCACAAAGTACATGTTACAATTTCTTGAGTAGCGGAAATAAGAATGGACAGCTTTTAAAGAGAAAATATTTTAGCATTATCCGATTTTTTTCTTTAATTCAAAACTGTTTACCGACAATTAGACTTAGTATCAATGCATGATTCATTTACATTGTAACATTGAGCTCTTTTTGTATATTGATTATTACTCAGTCTCTGTTGAATGCTGCTTTTAATAATAGATATGTTCTCTTCAAATAACATATATATTATTCAAAGCAGCATTCAACATCGATCTGGAAGAAATCTTAACATTCGTTCCGCGCACTCGAAAGCGCAACAATGTACGATAGTGTATATTCTCCCAGTATCTGATGAGATGATATAATAAATTCAATATTGCATCTAACGGTGTTTAATTCAAATAAGAAAAAGAAAACAATGTATAAGAAGTACAAAATAATAAAACAGAAAATAGCTGTTTTGATGACTGCAATAATAAATAATACCTGGACATTCATTATTCACTTAATATTTCATGTCTTACAGAAAATAACAGGATCTTGTTCGGAGGCAAAGTGTCAAGACAATGAAAAATGCATTCCACAATCCCTAGGAAATTATACATGTAAACTATCAGGTAAGTTTGTTTGTTTCAAGTCCTTTTCAGTGAGTTTTAACTAACATTGAGACGCCTGTATTAGTCAGCGAGATCTTTCTGGAAAAGATAAATCATTTTTGTACCTCTATACGGAACCCAGTTTTTAGGATCCCTAAGGACCGGTCACCTCTTTAAGCAGTGGGATTCGAAGCCGCGGCGTAAGAATTAATCTCCATAGAATCCGACTCTACATTGATTGTATGTTGTTTAACCTCCCTCTCTAGAATTTTCACGTATATGGAGACGCCACCACTTGCCGTTGGAGAGCTGCGATATTTGTCCTATATTCAGTACTTGGGTAATTGAGCAGGGAAGGATCATTTTCGTGCTAGTATATCAACTGTGTAATGGGACCTCGGTTTATACGATCCCTTCCGAAGGACTGGTCTCCACGTCCCAAAGAGGGCCGTAAGAATCAACTCTTTACTTCGCGACTCTAAAACGGACGTTCAATCAGTGTGCAAGGCGGGCAACTGGTGACCAGTTAATAATTGAAAAAAAATTGCTTTGTCCAAATATATCAGGGAACTTGAATAGTTATTATAGACTATTTTGAGATCTTTACAAAAATTATATAGCTGCCTGGCTTAATAGAATGTCATTATGGATGAGACTGTTCCATAATAAAACCAATATAAAGAAAAAAAATCAGAAACAAGAACAACGCAAAAGCGAGCATTCCTTTCCAAAGAGCATACTTGTATCTATAGACCAAGGCAACCAATGACATCGATGTAACTTTCATTTACATTTTACACATTGTGTATAAAGTTAAGCAAATTATCCACACCCGCGACAGGACGCGAGCTCTAATATCGTTAATGTTTACGATTCACCGGGTGCGTTCAATTGTAAAGATTAACAGAAACATGTTACAGAAATTAAATTATTGAGAGTTAGATTTTTTATCCATAGTACATTGTAAACATAGTTCTGAATAATGAATCACATCTTTATTGTTTCAGACTGTGGACTCCCACCGGATGTAGATGGCGCTGACATGGATAGTGTGGAGAGATGGGATGCAATAGGAATCTATAGACAGCTGAATATAAAGTGTAAAGATAAGTACACAATAAAAGGACCAGGGCTTATCAACTGTCCTTCAAATGGACAATGGGAGATTCATCTAATTTGTGGTATGAAAAGAAAAATTACGAGTAATTAAATGACTTTGGTTTAGTTTCTATCAAGTTCTGTTTTGAAGGTCAGGAAGAGTTGCATGTCTATCAAAAATTACAAGTATTCATTTTTTCATCAGTAATACTCCTGTATTCTGTTTATCTCTCAAAAATTGTCTCTTAATTTAAGATATGCAAATACTATTAAATAAAAATGAATACGGCTAGTTTAGTTAAAGTATTTGGGTGTAATCACAGAAAACCTGCACAAAGGCATATTTTTATATATGATGTAATATATGCCTCTGTGTCAAGCCTGTTTGATTTACACATGGATAACTCACACACAACTTAAAATGTTCTTTAAATATAATTTGTATTGTTGTTACTAAACGTACCTCTTGAGAATTTTTTGCTCGTATGGAGACGCCACCCCCAGACTTGCTGCTGGTGGGTTACAAATTCTGACCTTTACACGTCACTGCCGGCCATTGAGCAGCGAGGGATTTTTATCGTGCAAGCACCTACTACGACATTGCACCTCCGTTTATACGGTCTCATCCGAAGTCTCCATGTCCAAAAGTAGGATTCGAACCCGCGATGTTTGAATTAACTCGCTACTCAGCGACTCTGGAGCAAACGTTTTTATTAACAACTGCGCCACGAGGGAGACATGCAATTTTGTATATTTATCTCAACATGTGCATTTACTTTTTCATTGCTCACAGAGTGGCCACGCTTCGGAAACAAGACGTATTCGGTCGGCAGCCGTAAACTAGAATGGGAAAAAGCTAAGGTATGTCTCATGTTTATAAATACATGTATTAAAGAATAACAAAATGCCATCATTACTTTATTTTGGTTGACTTCTGTAGCCAGTACATTATCCTTGTCAGTGTGTACATTCTATCAGGAAGTTTGGCGCTGACTAACCATTATACTCCATTGTTAGCCAATACATAATTTTTGTATGGTATTTTATGTTTTTACCCACCATAACAAAGAGTACATGTAGCTGCAGGTGTGAACAATCGACAGGGATGTTTTCTCCTTCATGACATCTTTTCCCTAATCTGATATTCTAAAGATCCTGCTTTCTGTGCTTCCGATTTGTTATTTTACTATAGAATTAGTGGTATGAGTTCTGTTATTTATCTTTTTTTTCATTTAAGGTAGGATTCCTGTCACACAAAACTTGTATTTAAAAATTAATGAAATTTTCACGGAATCAAAAAGACAATATCACAATGTGATGGTATCAGTTATATTAGTTTTGACCGTTTTAAATTAGAGTCAAGGTCATATCAAGGTCATTACCTTTTACCTTGCCATTAAGAATGAAAAAAATTCTATAACCAATCATGCGATACGGTCCTCTTTTTCAAAAGATAAAATGTTTTTCTTTTTCATACAAAGATGTTTGTATCAAGGGTCTATAAGATGATGTTACCAAATTGACACAAATAGTTTTTTTAAAAAAAAATCGATTTTGGCTAATCCGAATTTTCTCTATTTTTTTTTTCTTTTTAGAATATATCAGTCACTTTTATTTTTGTCCTATATTTAAAATTTTCTAAGTTTCACTTATGGTAGAGAACTCATATAGAGATATAAAATGATACCAAAACAAAAATTATCTTTTACTAAGAGAGTAAAAACACTTTAAACTCTATGGATTTTTGGCTTATATCTGTACTTCGATTGGCAGATTCTAAAAGCTAATATAATTGTAGTTTGTTTAGAAAATCTAAGAATTTATTTGACATATTTTAAAACTTTAGCCCCTTATCATTAATATAACTAACATTTGAAAAAAACTTTAATTGTGTAAAAATTATAACTAATTCATTGTTGTACAATAATGTACAATGTTAACCCTATGTCTCATATCAAAGAATACAAAAGTTAAAGATTTTATTTAAAAATACCTTCAGCAACATCACTTAAACGGGGCGTTACTTTTTATAAAATTAATACTTTCAAAAAAGAATAAATAATTGATTTTTTATTCAAAATCAATTTCCAAAAGATATGACTGATTATTTTAAAATCATCCAGAATACTGGGTAAGAACAAATTGAGGAACCTTAATTCTTTCCTTTTCAGATTAAACCTATTTTTATGCGGTTAGTGTATTTGCTAATTGCTTTATAGGACGTAATCACGATATTACACTACTTTCATCGACACCGGAAACTTCCTTAAGGCGCGACCTATCGACAACGGAAATTCAACAAAGCGCTACCTATGAATTGTTTACTATTTCTCAGCATAATAGGCCCTCTGGTGAGGGAATTGAAAAATACGTGCATTTGTGTGTGAAGGGTGGCTATTTTGCCGAATTCTTATTATTAGCATTACTAACCAAAGCATTGGCAATACATAGAACACTAACATCAAGGAACTAGGTATTGGGTCCCTATTAAAAACTCGGTAAATCCTGCTATTTATTGCAACTGTTAGATTATTTTTGAAAGTTGAACAATTTGCATTAATTAAACAGCACCCCTCAGGAACAATAAATATTTGACCTAACTGTGCTATAAGGCACTGGGAGGACGGGTTCTATGTTGACTTAGGGGGTTAAAGGTTATTTCCGACTGCAAATCATCGGCGAATCTCTCAATCGAGTTTGAATTTCCTTGACAAAGTATTATGGTATACCTTTTATTAACTAAAGTTGAGTAATAAATAAGGAAAGCTTTATAAAAACCTTAAATACATCTGTAAGCTGTACAGTTATAGAAACAATAGGATTAAATTAATTCCAGAATGAAACGTTTGTTTTCTCCTTTTTTCTCTCTAATTAATTTAAGGATTATAAAAGCTTTGTTGCCAGGGGCACATTCTGTACGCAACCTTTGATAATTTATTACAAACGATCATAAACGATTATTTGCTTTTTTGGGAATAAAAAAAAATGGGAACTTGAAAATAGTGTGGATAAGCAATTTACATTGATTTCTTTTGCTAATACAATGTAACAAGTATGCGAATTTCTATTAATGTGCCTGTAAACTTCTGTATTTTGATTTTTATTTCTTCTCAAAGGTTAAAAAATACTGTAAAATTCAAATTTGAAAAGTATTTTTAAATTTATTGTACCTTTTTAGGCATTTAACAAATTTTCAAAAATAATAAATAATCATTAACTACATATAATTTTACATTTTTGCTAAGTGCCAAGGTTTGTCATGCCTCTTTCCTTTGCGCTAATTTTATATCGGTTGATTTTTAGAAAAAGATCACGATGCCGATCGAAAATTTTTTCCCCAATTTTTTAAAAAAAATCTTATTATTGAGGAAAGGGACAATGAAAACTTAATAATTCTTGCAATGGACAATTAAATTGCTTGTCATACACTGACTTTTGGTATACTCTTGCATTTTTAAAATACTAGTAAAGATGGACAAGACAACAAATTTCCTTTTCACTCGTTTTAATTGATATAAGTATTGCATGAACAGTATGTTCCAAATTCACAGTATATGTCTCCTTATACAAATTCTGCAAGACTTCTTTTAAATGATTGTCATATACCATTTACTTATTCAAAAATTTTAAAGTTTGAAAAGTCAATAATATACATTTCTTTATTTGCTTTATTATCTTGTTTACTTGTCTCTCTTCCTTTGAGAGAAATAGTTCATAATATTAATAAATGGAAGTACTTAGTATCTGTATCAAAATAATGAATGAATAATGATCGGTCTCAAAAGAAAAACGGACCCTTGAAAGGTCCGGTGCCTAGGAGAAGTAGGCATCGACGTTGACAGGTCACCAGCAGTGAGCCTACACAACTGAAGCTACCTGAAATTTCTCAGCTCATCAATTTTTTTTGGAGTTGTTTGCTATAGTAGCATTTATAATTACCTAATTTCAGAATCAACAGAGGATAAATGCGAATTAAATTTGCAAAATCAATGTTTTTTCGACCTAATCTCTTTTGGACGCCGTCATAAAAGAAAATTTTCAAAATTGAACTTCCTGTCTTCCAAACTGAAGAGATCTCATGTTGATATTTTGAAACATGCACTTGTGACATCAATCTATGATGTTATTGTTTGTTTTTTCTATTTAAAGTATTACAAAATTCAGTGTGTCTGCCTTTTCTTTGATGACATTAGATGACATCTTACTTAAACATCATTATTCAATGCATTTTTTGTTGTTGTAAATATTAGATGTAAGCATGCTAACCGCTTTTCAGTACTTTGATTGTCAATTGTCAGTACTGCTCCTTCATGCTTATGTTAACTTTGCTTTAATAAACAATTTTAAAAAAATCTTATTTGTACACAAATAAAAAATACAGTACTTGTCATTTTCCTATTCCAGGAGTCCTGTAAATCTAAGGGAGCATATTTGGCAGAGATAAAATCAGAGGATGAAAGCAACTGGATAACCGAAAAATTACTGAAGCCTTTATATGGTAAGGAGAAATATAATCCTTCTATGGTATCAAAAACATTTATCATAGAGAGTTTGGTAAAATTCTTAGACTATTCTTGTCACAGATCCTACATGATATTTTAAGTCATTACAGATAAAGATTCTTGTTGCATAAACCATACCATTTACCAATTCTTACACTAAATCACGCAAATACAGTTTATAAAAAAGGTTAACTGTAACTCTCTCTTTTTCATCCGCTATTGCTGGAGGTGGCATGGTAAATATCGCTCACTGCGAAATGGCCCTGAAACCTGAGTAAAGGTCAAAAAATGATGCCCTTCCCTGGTATTTAGTTCTTTATAAGTAAAGAATTCTCGAATTTGAAGTAAAATATTGTTTTTTTTATTAGATAAGAAAAGTTATCATCTTATTCAAATATTACGTGGTAATTAATTACTCTTGTAACTAGTACCGCGTAATAAAGTGTTTCCGGAAAATTTTTAACGATTATATTTCTATGACGTGAACTTTAACTTTGTGTTGCATCACATTTCAGTAATGATTTAGTTACATTTCCTGGCCAGTGGGAATCCATGGTGCGAGAGATGCCCAAACATTGGTCCACATCGACCTAGCAGTCCTTAAAGTATCAATCACATTATCCAGCGATGGTGTAAACGATGGACAACTAATGCTTCTTTTATATAAAAATGGCGTTGTTGCTGGCGGGGCTTACAAAGGCCCAGCGCAGCATTGCTAATCATAAAACGATATTCCAGGGTAATTGACCAAAGTAAATTACGTCGCTCATACATTGGTGATCATCGTTTGTACGTCGGTAGATATGGGCCAATTTTAGGTCGAACATCGATGATCGGCCGATGTCTGTTGCCCACCACTTAACCCCCTGATAACCTCAGATTCAAAGAACACTTAAGCCATACATCAGCTTTTCCATTGAAAAATGTGTAAATGATGGGTTGCCGATGAGAAGCGATGTGGGGGCATTGGTGGAGACATCGCTGATTTTTAAGCAATGCTTTTTTTTTTCGATGACCCCCATCAATTCCTCAAATGGCTCCAGTCACCGTTCGATTACTATATAAATGTCCAGCCGGAAATGCCTAGGTCAAATTTCACGGCCGATAGCCGTAGACCGGTGGTAATCGGTGGTAATCCGTGGTGTTAACGATACCCCAACATCGGTCCACATTGGCCTAGAATCCTTAAAGTATCAGTCACATTATTCAGCGATGTGCATACGATGGGCAACCGATGCTTTTTATGAGAAAAATGGCGTAATTGCCGGCCGTACTTACAAAGGCCCAGCGATGCATTGCTAATCATAAAACAATGTTCCAGGATAATCGGCCGATGTATATTACATCGCTCATACATTGG